CCCCGGGCCCTCCGGCCCCCCGCCTCCCGGCCGCGCCGCCTCCTCGGACTCCCGCGGACGGAACCGCGTCCCCTTCCCCACCATCACCCCTACCGACTCGCGCACCCACCCCCCGGGGCACCAGTGCCAACGGCGGCTCCCCGGGCCCCGGACCTACCTGCACGGCTCAACCAAGCCTAGAAGTGGGGGCGGGGAATCTTCCGCCCTCCTCTGTCTCTCATTGGCCCTCCCGGGGCACATCGTGAGTAGCATTGGCTGACGGCCGATGTCCGTCAGAGTGGTGGGGCGGGACAGCAGGGGGAGAGGGATGCTGGTGCCCCGGCGTCTCTGTCTCTGTGTATCTCGCTGTCTCTGCCTGGGCTTCTGGAAACGAGAGACATTTGGACGGGAGGACTGAAAGGAGGCCGGAGGTGGGAAGGACAGAAATAGGCACCCTGACAGAGCTTCCCACCCGTCGGCCACTCCGAACCCTGCACCCAAGTCCCCTTTAGGTCTCTTCTCCATCACCCCCAACCCCGGCCCCTCACCCTTGTAGGTTCTTCATCCAGGAAGCGACGTGATGAAAACTCGAGGCCGGAAGGCCATAGGGGAGATTTTATATATGTATATAAAATATACACATACAAATGCTTCTACATAAAGTCAGCCCGATATTAGGTCAGAGAGCCTGGAGAGGAAAGGGCACACATCTCACCAACAGGGAAGGACTCGAGATATAACCAATATAAGAAGGAATCCCAAATGACTCAAAGTGCTAGTAACAGTGGTTTCCTCCCGGGAGGGAGAACTGAGCGCCTAAGGGACCAGGTGGGAGGAAGGCAGCGTTTCACTGCACATCCTTTTGTATCTTTTTATTTTTGTACCATTCACAAAGATTCCAGGGGTTTTTGGTTAAGTAATTGATTTAAATTTAAAAATAATTCTCAGGTTGGAAAACCAGGGATACGGACAGGATGGCCGTCGAGGCGAAGTGGGACAACGTGCAGATTTAGGGAGGAGTTTTAGTCTTTAGTATATTCAGATCCAGATACCAGAGGTAAAACCAAGCGGATGTGTTTCAGAGGCAACTGGAGTTAGGGACCTTGGGAGAGGGTGGACAGTCTGGGCTAGGGGAGGTCTGGGGGTCTCCACCTAAATATGGTGGTTGATGACATGCTAAAGGATGAACACCCCCCCCCCATAGAAGTGTAATAAGAGATAAGAAAAACAATACTGAAGAGGCATGAAAGTTAAGGGAGGAAGGACGGGTTTCTGGAAAAATAGAATAAAACTGCAAGAACCTCACAGGTCTTGAGACTCACTTCAGGGACCCTCTTTAGGTTCGTTCAGTAAGAACGAAAGCCAAGAATATATCCATAAAGCAGAGTTCTTAATTTTTTCATACCACAGACCCTTTTGGCAGTCTGGTGAAGCATATGGTCGTCCTCTCAGAATGTTTTCAAATGCATAGAGAACATACATAGGAATTCAAAGGAAAGCAACGATATTAAACTATGATTTTTAAATTATATTAATGTATTTTATATTAATGTATTAAATAATAAGACCTAATAACAGGCCTAATAAACACCATAATTTTGAGGCTATAAATGAGCATAAATGATATTTCAAGACCTCTGCAACAACTGTAATATATTTGAAAAATGTCTGTGATTTCTATTGGTGACAAGATCACAGGTACTGCTAATACTACTTGGTTTGTTGTCTCCATTTGTACTTGAAGGAAATGCTAATTTTCTGTTACCCTTTAGCAAAAATAAAGGCATATTGCTTTTCCTGATCTAAGTTCATGGATTTCCTAATCTGTGGACCACAGGTTAAGAAACCATACCCTAAAGAAGGCATCCTTTCCACCCCCACATACCCATGCCAGGCTGTAACCCTTCCCTTCACTCTTTATCTCTTGCTCTCTCTACCCTTTCCCATTTGCTCCAAGTACTCTCTACCTGCAGATTTCTGATGTCCCTGTGACTAAAAGAACAAAGGACTATGAGTGAGGGTTGGAAGAAAGATATATACACGTTGCCTTTCTTCAAAGAAAATAGAGAAAGCTATGTAGAATATAGCAGATCTGAGAAGACGGGGAAAAGGAACCCGGGATGGGGTATCATTAATCCCCAAGAAGAAAAATAAATTATAAAAAGAAACACTTATCAATTAAAAAATAACCTTTTCTGAGTTTATTAATTTTCCTTAAATGCGCCCTAGGAAACATCTTTAATCTCGCTTTTTATTTCATATATGTGTAAAATGGGGCAGAAAAAATAGTACCTACCTCCTAGGGGTTTTGTGAGGATTAAATTAGTTAATACATAAACTAGATTTAACAAAGTGCAACTTCTAACTACCATTGTTATTATATTTGGCATCTTGTATTCCAGAGCATTCCATGAAAATTTCTGGTATGATTATTTGTATTAATGACATGTATAGCAAATTAAGAGCGATAAGGTGATTAACCCAGAACACTTACTTTTCATTTAAATGCTTCAAAATTAGAATACTCCACTTTGCCGGGCTGGGCGTGGCTCAGCGGTTGAGCGTTGACCTAGGATCCAGGCGATCGGGGTTCGACTCCTGGTCAGGGCACATTCCTGGGTTGCGGGCTCGATCCCCAGTCGGGGGCGTGCAGGAGGCAGCCGATCAATGACTCTCATCATTGATGTTTCTCTCTCTCTCTCCCTCTCCTTTCCTCTCTCTGAAATCAATAAAGAAATATTAAAATATATATATTCCACTTCTTCCAGTTACATTTTCATTCCTCTAGGGGTGGTTGGAAGAACATCAGTGCCTCTTTAAAGAGTTTGTAAACTTGGAAAGGAAATTTTGCTATTACAAAGGGCTAGTTTCCATAAGGCTGTATATAAAGACCTCCTACAAATCAATAAAGACCAGCAAACCTCATACACTGCTGCTGGTGGGAGTGTAAACTGGCACAGCCACTTTGGAAAATACCTTGATATACTCTAATAAAATTGGAGATATGCACACTCTATGTCCTAGCAGTTCCACTACTGGATACATAGTATAAGGAAATGCAGACTTTTAAGGGTCAACATTACTGTACAAGAACAGTCACAGCAGCGTTGTTCCTCAGCACCCCAGGCTGGAAACATCCCAAATGTTTACCAAGAGTAAAATGGGTCAAACTGTGGTATCTTTGTACCATGAAAATTAATAAACTATGGTTATATTCAACAACATATTAATTTTTACAAAGCTAATATTGAACACACACACAAAAGCAAGATGCATAAAACATATACTACAATTCCATCTATATGGAGTTTAAAAGCAGGCAAAACTGAACTATATTGCTTAGGGATACACAGATGATAGGATTATACAGAAAAGGAAGGAGCCCTGACCAGTTTGCCCAGTGGTTAGGGCATCAGCCTGCAGGGTCTGGGGTTCCATTCCCGCCAAGGGCACATACCTTGGTTGCAGGCTCAATCCATGACCCCAGTTGGGGACCCTGTGGGAGACAACCAATCAATGTGTCTCTCTCACGTCAATGTTTCTCTCTCCCTCTCTCT